TATATCTGACGCGCTGCTAGTAAATAAACATTGATTATTTTAATGGTTGAAACTAGGAATTAATCGCTCATAAAGTGTGGGAATTGTTACTATCACCGAGGAACCAAAGAATAACGCAAGTTGTAGCAAAAAATCCGATAGAACGTGTCCATTCTCAAGGGAGAGTCTTAAGTGACAGATCGGTATTATATAAATATATTAACCCCAATTTAGTGGCTGTAGTAACGGAAGGTATAGGACATGCCCATAAAAGTAAGTATATATTTACTATTACGTGCAATTTAATCAATATTATATTTGTTGGAAAATACTTTTTTATTGTACTTTTATTTTGTAGATACACTTAATTTGTATCTACTAGATGTAGTATCTGGATCTATGATTTTTTCTATCACGCACAAAAGAGTACGTGGTCCAATTCATATTGTGCATTCAGAAAATTGGTTAGTATACAGTTATTTCAATGAGAAAGGACGTAGAACAGAGATCGCCACGTTAGAACTGTACGAAGGAAAGATACAGAGTAACACCACAGGTAAAGACAGTCATAAATTTTCGGCAATGTATGTAAGTTTTAACTGTTGATTGAATAATTAATCACGATTTTTGAATGTTTTAGTGTTCTCTTCTTTAGCGACGACAAAATTGCCAATTGTAGAGAGACAAGCTTTTATTTTCCCGGCATCTATAGAATATATGCAAGAAACGATTACTGAGAAAGGTATTACTAGCAAACATATAATAGGTACGTGTGTATATGATTAGTTAATTGAAAAGAAAAATATTAATTTTGGTTATCTATGTATGTTCAGTTATGTGTGATGCGTTGCGATTAATTTTATTTGTATCCTTAGTTGCTTTAGCCAATGGTGGAATATTAGAGTTGCCGTGGATGATGGTAGATCCACGACGGCCTATTAATCCTGAAATGCGAGAGGAAGGAGTAATACCATACATGCCCGAAATTCCAATTCATATGGATGCTATCATCAATTATAATCAAAGTGTTTCTAGAGTTTTGGGTATTCACACTAGTCCCAGTGGCCTTGAAAGTACTTGTTTAGTTTTTGTACATGGTCTTGGTGAGTATGGTAATTACATATCGATTCTAAAAATACTTTCAATGTAAATGAACAAAATAATTGCTGTATTTGCAGATTTGTTTTACACGAGAGTGGCACCATCTAAAACATTCGACGTTCTAAAAGAAGACTTTGATTATTATCTTATTGTGATAGTACTTGCAGCGCTGTTGATCTCATCGTACGTCACTAAAAAATTAGCATCCAAAAAAGCTCAAAAACAAGCGTGGAAATGATGCCTCGCTTTTTTAGAGAATCGTTACGTAATGTGTATGAATCTGTTCACTATAGGCAAGAATTTTTGCTAAGATAACTTGTAAAATATACTGTTTTATAAATAGCTAATTTTAACACAAAGTAAACGCTAATACTTTGTTATCTTATCTAGAAATTTCTTAAATAATCTTAAATCCCTTGAATAAAAAAAAAAGACGCGTACATGGAATGTATATTTTACCCTCTTAGTAGTACAGAACGCACACGTGCGATAGGTAGTATCTAAATTCTTTAAAGTGTGCTAATCAATGTATGACAAGAGTGGACCATGATCATCGGTTATTAAATTATGGAAATAACTGATAACGTGCTCAAAATATAATTGCTTCTTTGTTAATTGTACGGAACTTTCTGTAAATGAAATGAAATCATTTTATATGATACCTATGCATTCTCGATATAAATCAAAGCAAAAATTAGGAATTTGGAGATAAAATATAGAAAAAAACTATGCTTGATCATTAATGTATTTTACAATGAACATATTGAAATATTAATGTACGTGACTGAACAGCGCTGAATGCAAGAGCATTTACTTGCTATGCAAAAAAAAATACGTGATTGTCATATTGCAAAATATGATAATTTAATTTCTAAACAAATATTTATAATTTATGTGCTTGTAAAATGTTATCTTCTAGAAACTCCGAAGAACAGTATATTTTGCATCTTTCTATGTACCTGTAATTTACCATCCTTTAACATATGTAAAAAGTGTATGCACTTTATACACTTATATTCCAGATTTCTTGTAAAATATCCTCAGCTCAATTTTCCAAATAATTAAGTTTCCTTAACATCATTTATAATACTTGCAAGAAATATTATGTGAAGAAACGCAATTTTTAAATAATTATTTATTACAGAACACATGAAATTATTTTTAAATTTCCTTAGTTTGTTGACAAATTTAGTGGTCTTAGTTTACTACGTATCAATAAACTGATATCATTTCCAATTTTAGAAATAAAAATACTCTGAAATATAACGCGGGAACAGAAAATACAGTTATTAAAGAAATACATTTTTATTATTTTTATTACATGCATTTTTGTTATTTGAAGTAGTATTTGTCATATAACTACCCTGCAATGCAAATATTGCAAAAACTTTAAATTATTTCGTGAAAACTATGTAATTTCATTAATTTTTGTTTGCTTCAAATTTGTTAGTCTCAAAATCAAACAAGAACGATCTACTTGTAGACTATAGAAATTAATATAAAGTTTATATTTTTTTCAAAATATGTGGCAACAACAATTAAAACATTGATATAAAGCAGGAGATATAATATGTAAATATCACTAAATATAATATATTATAGTACATTTTTCTTTTATAATTTATTGCTTAGTAGATAATGAAAAGAGGTGTAATTACATATGAGTGATTGTACAAATACATGTGGAAAATAATTATAAAATCTGTTGGAATTATATAAATATACAAATAAATATCTGCCATAAAAAAGTTTTTAATATTTTTTAGAATATACCTGCATATGATCAAACATATATGTGACAAATCTAATTCCTCATATTCTTTTTATACAATTTTTTTCATATTATCAATTTCTGTGTACACAAATTAATTATATATATATGATTAATTTTATATTACTTTAGAGTCATTTAATGAAAAATAGAAATGTAATTATGTAATGTGAATTAAACAATTTTAAATTAAGACATTATATTATTATCATTATATTTTTCCTAAAGTATCAATATATATTTTTAACATATATCGGATGTTTTTCTTTCGATATACATAATAATATCTTGTACATTTTTGTAATATTCGTTTGACGTTGCAATATCTGTTGGATTCTAAAAAATAACATAAAATAACTTTATGTATCATCAAATGTATCAATATTTTATAAATTATAGTAACTGCACAAATCGCATATAATAATAATAATAAAAAAGTGTTACCAGTATAGTTTTGATATCAAATGTTACATCCGATACTATTTTCTCAACATTTGAATTCCAAATACCGAGACATTTCACCCATACAATATCTGCATTATAATCAGCAATTTCTTTATATAATTTTACACAGGATGCCTGAGAATTTTTAAAATTATCAGTAGCTGGAAATATTTATGCGAGTGTAATATATACTCATTATTCAATATTACTTGTAATGTAGGATTTTGACGTGTACTGAGATAACATTGCGTATCGTTTAATAGTTTCCATAATTCTTGCTCACGTAGTCTCACAAGTCGTGCAACTATTCCCAACGTGTACAATAATTCATATTGCAATTTGTAGATTTGTGTAAATTTATAGATATTTTCAGATCCTTTATTAATACTTTTCTTAGAAGAATCGATCAGGAATTTAGATATGGACGGCAGCACGTCTCTGCAAAATTAATTATGATATTGCAATTTAGATATTATTTGTTTATAGTATGTCATTTTACAGGACATGCAGAATATTTACCGCAAAGTTCTACTTCTGATAAAATCATTTGATATCCTGGCAAGAACATACAAAAGTTGCCAAGCATGATTAATTACGATAACATTTCCACCGTTAAACCTATCAGTTAGTGGATGCCACAGTTGATGTACAATAGGCAATAGTTCATCTTCCCACTGAATCAACATTACTAAACCAATTTGAAGTGTTTGCATTGCCATTAACGATACTTGTATATCATTTGAAGGTAGAAAGTTTAAACAACATTTCATAATTTTTATTATTATCTTTGTATAGATGGGCAATTCCTTGTTTTCTTCTTTGTCTATAAAATAATTACACATACTGTAGGAGGTGTTTGCACACACACATGCGCGCAAGAAAGATTTATGCACAAAAAGATAAATATAAATTTATATTATACCTTCTATATTAAAAGCAGTGTAAGTTGAGTTTGATTCTTCTGATGGCTCAATATTTACATCTACATTCAATTCTGTCTCTTCAATATCATTCTCCAGTTTTTTATCAATATTTTTAGCATTATAGTATTCGAGTAAAGAATTAATAATTGTTTCGGAAAAGTTATTTGTAATTCGTATATTTTCTTCTGATTTTTCCATATCTTCGCATATTACTAACGTTTTTATGCACGTGATAAATGTATAAAATATCCTTAAGAAGTAATAAATATTTTTTTTGCGGAAAGGGTTACTTAATTGCGTCAGTGCGTTTTCTACAATTCCCTGCAGATATGGTAAAAAATCTAATTCACTATACTTCATAACAACTTCGATAACATCAAGTACTCCAGTATTAAGTTCCATTTGACGTAATTTTATTATAATATGAAAGGAAAAATAATCCACGTTCGCACGTAACAGATCACCAATTGTGCTATGTTGCTGCGCTTTTGTGATAATTTCAAGAGTGCGAACTCCTATGTAACTAATTAAACTGTTCTCACTACCTAAAAAATTATTTCTTTTTAATAATTCTTTTTCGTTAACAGATTCCATAAACAGGCTTAAATTTCAAATTTCATTAAAACATACCTGCTCTTTCCATAATTAAATATAAAGTTTTTAAAAGATATATGCTATAGTCACGTTGTAAATTTTTTGCTATGCAGCCTAGTCCTTCCATTAAAAGACAACACTGTACTACGTTACTTCGTGCTTGTGCCAAAGAAGTGGCTTCTGTTACTTCTATAGATAAGTACCACATTTCCTCTGAAGTATAAAAATCCACAATTTCCTTATATAAATGTAAAACGGACGAATCTTTGACAGAAACTGAAACAATTATGAAGATTACATAAAAATCGATTCTTGTAACGTTTTATTTTCTAAATACATGTATATTTTATTACTTAAAATCCAATTGAGTAACAAACTCAGTTCTTTTCTATGTGATGGTGCATCTGACATAAGCTCGAGGATAGTGTCAACTAGTATATTAAAATTTCCAAAATGTCCAAGTAGCTTGCATATTTCAACAATTTTCTCTTTACACGAGCTATTTGTAATAAACTTGAACTGTCTCCATGCATCTGACCCATAGAAATATGCAGGAGCATCTAAATCTTTCACATTTGTTGTCTGTAAAAGAGATACTGCACTGCAATCTATCTCCATAATGTATATAAGAGCTAAAAATAATTTTCGTGTGTGAGCTTGGGAGCTCATTATATATGGCAAATTCTGTTCTCCAAGTAGCTTTAAATAGCCAGCAAATTGATTCAAAGATGCTAATTGTTCGTCATCACCTGAAAATTATAAAAGAATAAAGTGTAAATATAGCCTATTTTAATTTCTATATCTCAATGATTAACAAGGAGAAGATTTTACTTGACCATCTAACAATAGTAGGCAATCGCATAAGTACACCATAAAATTTTTCTTCCAGTAAATTTGTTAGTTTCACGTTATGATTTCTCATAAAGTTTTCACTTATAATAGTCAATACATTGTATGCTTTTATACTAACATCCATAGTTTCATCTTCAGATAAGGAAATCAAATGATCTATTAATGCCATAATGTTTGGTTTCATATTTCTGTGTAAAAAAGATGTTTTATATTGTAAGTTATTTTGACAAAAAGTCCAAAAAAGCATATAAGAAAAAAGTATATAAAAGAAGAATACCTGAAACAATTTTGAAGTACAAGGCTAATAGTTTCAACTAATTCCAACCTGACTTTGTAATGGGAATGACTTCTGATTTTTTCAAAAAGCTGTACACTAGTGCCAAGTTTGATAGCTACAGCTTCAAACCAATCTTGATTTCTGATATCTTGTTTTAGGTTATTTTCAAACATTTTAGTACGTGAAGTATCCAACAAGTAAGTACTGTGATGAGTACTTTTTTTCATTAATGTTTCTACAGACAATATAGTCTCTTCTTTATCATGCATTATAAGAGATATAATTCTTCCCCATGCTCGAATTGCCATCTAAAATATTAGTTTAATATATAGATTAGATTTATTCTTTAAGTAACTTGCTTCAAAATATATTATATAGTATTATCAATACGTATAGAAGTATATATTACCACTGTAACTTTGTGATTCTGAATTTCCCCTTCCATTATTATCTCTTGTAATCCACCAATAATACCAGGTAAAAATGTCATAATAGTATCAGCTACCTGTTCTCGCAGAACAATATCAGATTTATTTACTTCGTTATGTACATAACACAAAGCCATTACTGCATCTATTGCTGCTAATCTAACAGTAGTTTGAATTAGCGCAAACATATGTGTGTGTGTTACAAATAATAATATTATAAAACTAATATATAAATATCTTTTCTAATGTATTTCTTTTTAAATATTTACCTTACAGCAGATGATTTTTCAGTTTTTGCAATTGTTATACATAGTAATATTCCTTGACCAAGTTTTATTCTATTTTCTTTATCATAAAGCAATTCTATGACATCAGTACAGGTTTGGAGGATAATGTCTTTAATACACAAAGCTACCAGTTCTTTAAGTTCTTCATGAAATATTAATACTATAAAATATAAATAAATAATAAAATGTATTAGGTATAAATACAATGTATTAGATATTTTTTAATATTGTTTAGTATTCTATATTTTAATAATTAAGTATTCTTTAGTATTATTTAATATTATTGTTAATACACTATATAACATACACTATATAATTTTTAATACACTATATAATACACCTATATAACATACCTTTGTTTGTCTCATTCTTATCATAAATCTGGACCAAAACAGTTGTATAGATATAATAAAATTCCTTCAATTCACTAATTTTATTTTTTTGTAACATAAGCTTCAGAATCCTCAGCAATTCTTCTTTTTTATCCTTGCTACATAAAATATAATAAGAAATACATAAAAATATTATTACATATAAATAAATATTAAAATATTATCACATATAAATAAATATTAATATTTTTAATAATTATTAGAAAATAGCATTATGATACATATACAATTATATCTAATAAATTAGATGTTAGATAATAGAAAAACTAAGCAAAATAACAAAATAAAAAATATATATATATATATAAATGGTATTTATATTTATTGTATTTTTGGTAATATTGAAAGAGAGCTTCATTACTCTTTGATTTGGCTAAAACTTTACAATATTATGTATTTTGATACATGCAACATGAATGTGAAAATAAAATAGAATCGTCGCTCTCAAATAGAACAAAAGTTTTAAAGTGCTAAAAAATGACAGTTTTAGATTTATGAAATCTATCATGTTGACAGCGCGTAATTTCAATATTCTTATATCACATTTGAAATTACACACGTTTTGTATGTCCTGCGCATGCTCATATGTTTCTGCACTGTCAATGTGACAGATTTCTTAACCTTAAAACTATTATTTTTTTAGCACTTTATAACTTTTGCCCTACTTAAAAGCGACAATTCTTTCATATTTTATTTCATATTTATGTATTAAAATATACAATATTGTAAAGTTTCAAATTAGCAAAAAAACCCTTTTCTTTCAGTACTACTGTATTTCTTATTCAGCTTTAATCTTTAATTTTTCCTTAAATTTCAAGCTATTGTATAATCAGTTGAAATCAATGAAATTTCTGAACATTAGCAAATTAGCATAATAATTAATATATTAATATATATTATGTAGTTTAAGTTATTGTAAAAAACAGTATGTTAAAAATTACCTTAAATCTTTGACTTGTAAAGAAATGATAGTAGAATTTAAGCAATACTTTGACAGGTATTGCATGGCTACATGGGAGTTGTTAGTTATTATTTCCACAAATCTACATACGTTGTCTTTTTTTGGATCTTTCACCAGATAATCACAACACGATTTCAGTTCCAAGAAAACTTGTGCAGTAGATTTATCCATTTTGATATCAGTATTAAAATATAACAAGAAATTACTATTCTTTTTCAAATTCCTTTAACTTACTTATCCTTTATAAATTAGGAATTAATATATTCAGGTAAGCACATTGTTTATATCTGTAATCATACAATAGGTTAAATGTATAACAGAATATCAAGATTTCCATTTAATAATACTTTTATTAAAATAATACTGTTGTAATATTTCAGAAAACACATTAAACATATAACAATTAATTATAACAAATAAAGCATACATTTAATTTATTGAAATACCGAGTAATGAAAAATTTTGAAAAGAATTCTTCAAGACCTGCAATGACTCTACAATAAGTTTATATTACTACTGGCCGGTTATTTCAATTTCTTGGTAACTGATAGTTAAATCATACATCTATGTTTTTTCTTCAATTTAAATAAAGACATAGGATTTAATTATCAGTTAAATTACCAAGAAGTTGGAACTACCTTACCTCAATTCTGCTTTATCTGCTACCTTAGATCTATTCTTTTCAATTGATCCGTAGTTTCAGTTTCAGTTTCAATATATGGCTGAGCACACTTATAGCGAATTCGGTTGCTTGCACTAGTGTGCACTGAGTGCGCACTAAGGCTTGTTCATAGTATGTTATTATATTTAAAAATAGTCTTAAATAATTCTCAAATAAATTCTCAAATATTTTTAACCATAATATGATATGTATAACATCCGTACGAATCATTTTATTAGTTAAAATGTTTTTAAATATGTATTTAAGACACGATCTTAAATATAAGAATGTACTGTAAACAGGCCTTAATGCGCACTCAGCGCGCACTAGTGCAAGCTACCGAATTCGCTATTAACTATCAGTTGATCCGTACACACTGGTGTAATCATTTCGTCTGTTCTTTTCAGCTGCACTGCTGAACTGGTGCAATAAGTTAGAGTGAGAGAAAATATACTTGTCTCACTTTAACTTATTGCACCAGTTCAGCAGTAGTTGAAAAGAACAGACCAATGACGTAATATAAAGGTGTATTATTGCGCATGAATGACGTCACGCGTAGTGACGTAATATATAGTGAACCAATTAGAAATGACCAGGAATAAAGCCGCTAAATTCAAATGCCCAAAATTAATCGTACATTACTAATATGTATTAAACTTAAAATCTGTTATATATATATATATATATATATATGATGTATATATATATATATAAAGAGAAAGAGAGAGAATAATATATATATATAGAAAGAGAGAGAATAATATATATATATAGAAAGAGAGAGAATTATATATATATATATATATATATATATATATATATATATATA